CCTGATGATTGTTCATTGTGCCAAAATAGAGGAAAACAGATATTCCTCTTTGAATTGAAGAATAATTTTGGAACATATAAGAGGTCTGTGTTTTGAAAAACAACTTCAGTTAATTATGAATCTGGTTTTTATCTCGGGGTATGGGATCCATTTTTACATAAGATACTTAGAAAAATGACATTAAGAGCAGCAGCAAACTGAGGAGATAAGAATGAACTACTTAAACCTGCTAATTCGATATTTGTTATCGATAAATTCTACTCAAACATTTCTCACAGGGAATAGCAATATGTCTTTGGTGGACTATGGGGTGTACATTGATGGGTACTGAAAGTTTAGGACATTTGGAGCTTCCCAGTGACATAGCTCCACAGGTAATTTTTTTAATTTTTGGGAGCATGGAAATGACAGTGCCGCGGTCCTTTCCCAATGACTCCTTGTCTAATTTGCTTTACTCTCAAGTCTTAATTCATATGTTAAGCTTCCTTGGTCCAGAGCTCATGATTTTGCTCCCTGTGTGTACCATGCCAAGGGCAGTGAAGTTCTGCTCCACGTCTTGGCTGCAACCATTACAACCAACAACTTCCACAATGGTGACAGCTTACCTCAGCTGACTACTAAAATCTGTGTCAATGTAAAGGAAAGTTGGATGAGGGCATGGAAGGGAAAAAAATGGATGTTCCTCTGGACCAGGAGGCTGAGCAGCTCAGCCTGAGATAGGTTTCACTAGACGCCCACCTAGCAGAATATAGGGAAAGAAGTGAAAATAAACAACATAAAAGCACAGTGGAATCCAAGCAGTTCAAGATGTTGAGATCAGAGTGAAGAATGGGAGGGGAACCTGGAAGGAGGAATGCAGTTATCAGAGAAAGACTGAAAAAGGGAGGTAGGGATATCTGAAAAGTGGGAAACAGCTTGTGCAGATGGCTGCAGTCAGGGGAAGCAGTCAATGGTTCTGTTCCCCTTTTGCTTTTTGTGAGGATATGGATCTCCCAGAAATATCAGTGAAATGTCAGTCTGACATCTATGTATCTTACCTCTGCTCTGAGTGAAGAGCTGAGTGAAGAGCTCCCTTCCTGTTCAAATGCTAGTTTTAACTGCTTCCCACTTGCTATCAAAGTGAGAGGGCATAAAGCCCTAAATCAGATGACAGGTAAGTGTGGGACTCTGTTGAACCTAACACCCTCCTCCAATTTCACATTTTGAAAGATTTATTCACATTTCTGTCCAAAGCTGCACTCTTCTAAGTAGGTCTTTTCAGTCAGCTAGCATATGCCTATATTTAAACAGAGCTTGAATTTAAACAGCAGTATATGAAAGAAGTCTCCAGACCTGTGTGGTGGCCTATGGCACTTCATCCATGGTATTATCTGAGACCATAAGAGGTTCTGTGTTTTTATTTGGTGCTGTCCTTTTCAAAATAGTATGACCAGAAATGAATGCTTTGGAAAGATTTCATGACAATGCTCTATTTGGTGTAGCTGTGCTGTAGGAAGAGGGTGGCCAGCAGGAGCAGTTCAGGCTGTAGGGCTTTGTCCTGCTGATGGAGCTGATGCACCTCTTACACTTCTCATTGTTAAAGTTTTTACTTTTGAATGCTTTTTTGTTTTGGGCAGCCACCTCTCTGGTCAAAGTGTATTAAAATGAGGATGTCCTTCTGGTTGTTTAATGTCTGCTGTGTCCTCTAGCAAGCATTTAGAACAATGTTTTAGATAAGAGCATTGTAGTAGTCTCAAACAAATCAAAAGAAACATATAAGGGGCTATTCACTGTTCCTGTTTTGACACTTAGGAAGACTGGAGCTAAATTTGGTGCTTCTCTTCAGATGTTTTATACCCCAGTTAGCTGTGTTATGTTTGACCAAAGATCTACCATGCTGATACCTCTTGTGTTCTGGTGAGCCTGGCCTTGCTGGTTTACCCAGCAAAAAGATTTTCAGTTTGATTTCAAATGAATCATGCTCTAAATGTGTCTATGTTTTTCTGTCTCTGCTACAGAAGGAGCTCAGTGCAACGAGCTCACAAACAAAATAGACATCCCCACTGTAAAATCCCATAACTACTTGAGATTCAGACCTCCCTTAAACTCCAGCAGTGCTTTCACTCACCATCTTGCCTAGTGTCAGCAATGCTCAGTGGCAAAGACCATATTTTATCTCAGTGCTGTTACAAGAAAGGGCACCAGGAAGTTTTGTACTGGATAGGGAATTCTGTGAAGAAGTTAAAAAGTCATTTGTGAAATCTATTCCCTCTAGGAAGAAGTCAAATATAAGAAGTAGGAGTACAATTATTCTTGTGTTATCATGGTAGGCAACAGGCAATCCCACCAAGCTGCAGAGCTTGGACAGGTGTTAGGACACATGCTGAGAGAAGGGGCAAGAGGCTCACTTCAGGATTGAAAAGCTTGGGCAATGTTGAGCAGAGCTGGATCTGACAGAGAAGTGCTAACTCTGTGTGAGTTTTGGATGATCATGGTTAGGATAATTAGGATACATATCTGGTGACAATTCTACACTGAGCACTGCTCCTTCCATTTCCTTTGATCATACCCTCTAATTTCCAAAATATGAAAAGCAGTAAGACAAGAAACAATCTGATTACATAGGCAGGTTTTGTTAGTACCACTATTATGCATCAGTATCAGAGGTGGTTTTTTTTAATTGTCAGAATTCAAATCCAATTGGAGACTAATGACCCATCTACACAACAGTATTTGTGACAGCACAAAGTCTGTTAATTTCAGTGTATTGTGTCCACATTATGGAATTTGTATACCTTTAAAAATTAAAACGTCCTTTAAACAGTAAAAATTCTTCCTTTAGATAAAAGCAGTGATCTTTCCTTACCATGAGGAGGCATTGCTACTTTTTCTGTACTTTCATCTTAGGTTTAAACCTTATTTTGCTCATATAATAATCAGGGTTTGGTTTAGTGGTGAATCCAGTGGTGGTGTTGGGTTGATGGTTGGACTTGATGTTTTTAGAGGTCTTTTCTAACCTTAACAATTCTATGATTCTATGACTAATAAAACCTCTTGATATAGGAGTAAGAGAAATTGAGAAGCTAATCATCCCAAACTGCTGACTCTTACAAGAAGTGCAGGGATATACCTTCTAAGTTCCAGAATGCTATCATCTCACTTTACAGGTTCTCTGTAAATTCAGTCTTCTTTAGAAGTCTTGGATGCTGATTCAGCTAGAACACATTTTGTACCACAAAGAGAGAGGAAAAAAGTTAATGCTTTAATAGAGTTCAGTTTTGATATCTTTGGTCCCAATACCATACCAGTGCTGGTCCTACATGTTTTGCAAGACCAAGGAGACAGTTTGTGAATGGGAGTGAACATAAGTTGTGGTTATTAGAACAAATAAGTCTTGACGCATTGACCTCAAACTGAATTTCAGCTTTCCTGGATCAGCAAAATTCTGGGTTTCTTGTTTGTAAAACTGTCTAGAAATCCAGTTCCTGGTGCTAAGTATTCACATTCCTTCTGAGCTATTTGTCTGTAAGTATTGAGATGGGGTTTCCAGTTTTCACCACATATGAAATGCATGAGAAATCATTCACCTATGAAGCAGCCATCTCTATAATGAAATATGGCAACTTGCTAGAGCACAATATAATGTTCTGTATGGGCATAAAAAGAGAGCAAACAACTTTTTCTGAGTTAATTGCTTAAGGAATTTTAGCTCAGTGGAAGGTAATTACCCAAAAATTAACTTGGCCCATGTGTACAGGCTAACATCTGTATTGTTGCAAAATAAATGCCACAGATGTCTTTAAAACAAGTAACAGATGCACTCAGTGCTTGGACTTCAGATCTCATCTAAAAATCTTCCTTTTATAGGTGGCCCTTTCCCTCACCCCTGCCCCAGCCCTCTACAGAGCACTCAATTGCTACTGGTTCAGACTGCTGTCTGCTACACACCTCATCGACAGCCTCTTGTACTACAGCTTTGCTTTAAAGAACTGGAGTTTTATTTATCACAGCTGGCACTGCAGCCCTTTGTTTGCAAGTAAAAAAATACAGTTCACCAGGACCAGAGAGTACAGCTGAGAGAGCACTAGCCCAGTGCAATACAGACATTTACAGAGATAACCTCTTACTTGTGTTGGAGACAATGTTTTCAGCAGATCTGGTGAGTCAGTGGAAATAAATACTCAGTGCTTTGATAAAGGCACAAACACAGATGTCAGAAAGCAGCAGCCAAAGAAAGCAGTATTGTTACAGGATGCTGTGCAATATTAAGTGTTAAACAGCTATTTTTAAAGTGAATATTAACTTCACGCTGATGGTACAGGTCTTTGTAGGGAGTTTTCTGCTGTGGAAGCAGAGTGGTCATGAACATCACACAGGTGGAAAATGCAATGACTGTGCTAATGCTGCTGCACAGCCACAGCTCTGGGGCTGGACATGGGCATGACCCAAGTGGAGTCACAATGGGGGATGGCAGATGCATCTGCACTTTGTAGCATGTTGAATGATGCGCTTGCCTGCCATATGGATGGGCCCTCGTACTTATTGCAGCTTCCAGCTGTATCATCTGACCCTGCAGTGATGTCTCTTGGCTGGAACCAGAGTTTTGGCACCCGAGGTGGCTTGCTGCAGAGGCACATGGGCTGGGCTCACCAGCTGAACTGATCCAGGTTACCTGTAGGGTGACCTCTGGCATGACTGGCCAGCTCAGGCACAGCAGGGATGTGATCAGTGTCTGCCAGGTTCCCTGGAGACCAGGGACACAGCAAAGTCTGCGTTTGTCAAATAGGTCTGAGGGCTGTGATGAACAGGGTGAAGAAGTTGGTATCTCCCCTTCCTAATCTATGTGGGCACAAATCCTGCAGATCAGTCTGGTGCTGGGAACTCTCAAAGCCTGGGACATCTCTGTGCACTGCTGTTTTCCCAGGTACACTCAGATGTCCCTTTTGGTACAAGTGATCCCCGTGCTGCACTGGGGACAGGCTGTAAAGAACTGGCCTTGTGACTCCCCCCTTTCCTTCCAGAGGACATCTCTGTCAGCATTGGAGCGGTCAGAACAGCAGATTAGGAGAGCATCCAGCCTGGAAGAGCTGCTTCACATCACTCACTCTGAGGACTGGAAGCTGTGGAAATGCAGGCTAAAACTCAAGAGCTTGGCCAACTTAGACTCCCGCTCTGCTTCACATCGCTCTACCAGATTTGCTGCTGCTTTCTATGATATCGACACACTGAAAGGTAGGTGCAGGTTCTGGCTGAGGAGCTGGACAGCAGCACTGTGCTGCATCTCAAACTTGCTTGCAGGCAGAAATGAATAAACTTTACTGCAGGCATAGAAATCCCTTTTTTATTAGGTGTGCTCTGATGCAAGGCAGCTGATGCTGCACCAGCAGCAGTGTCTGTGTGGGAATTGAGAGAAAGAAGGTGTTGTCCTAACCTCAATCTGTTTGAGGAAGTTTCTACAGAGAACAGTAGACCTTGAGGCAACCAACCAGCAACTAAAAGCGGAGATGTCCTAACCTCAATCTGTTTGAGGAAGTTTCTACAGAGAACAGTAGACCTTGAGGCAACCAACCAGCAACTAAAAGCGGAGAATCACAACCTACTCCCTCCATCTGGAGCAAGTATGAATATTGTTCCTCGTGGCTGTGATGCTCAAGAGGCATTACATATTCATGGATGTAAAACAAAGGATCAGTCGCTATATTTTGATCCAGAAGATGAACATCCTACAGCAAAAATAAACTGTAGACTAATGAAGGACAGGTTGAGATAATCTCTTTGTTGTCTTTATCCTGATGTGATATTATCACATCACTTTCCTTTTGGGAAATCAGATATTGCTGATCCTGTTCCAATACCACTTTTACAACAATCCCAGCCACATTCTCACACCATTACTAAGCTAAATTATATCTGAGCAAAGGCCTTAAATTGCTTCTGTGAGCCACAACACAGAATGTGTATACAAGTGCCTGTCTGAGGAGGGTTTTCATATCACAGGCATGGCTTTACACTTTTGACAGGAATTTGGTACAGAAAAAAAGTTAAAACAAGTACACACACAAAGAACAATTAAGATAGCTTTTAATAGTGATAGACATTTTATTTACATACCCTTATAATTCTACTCAGAAACATTAAAAATCCTTAGAGTTATTAGGAGTACCCAGAGTCAAGTGCTGTAATCCTCTATTCACTGCTGCTCATTTACTGAACACCACCATTTCTGCAAAACTAAAATATTCTTTTTGTCAAAACAACATGACTACAGGGCATGTTATTAAATATTACGGAGGCAGGGAACATTCAAATGCACATTTTTCAATGGCAGAATAATGTAACTCAATATTATAACGTAGATAATGTTCGGATAACAAGGTCACTGTGCCATTTAGTACGCTGTGACTAATTTGAGATGGTCACAGGGCTGGAGCACCTCTCCTATGAAGTCAGGCTGAGAGAGTTGGGGCTGTTCAGCCTGGAGAACAGAAGGCTCCATGGAGATCTTATTGCAGCCTTCCAGTACCTAGGAGGGAGCTGCAAGAGAGCTGGGGAGGGACTTTTCCCAAAGGCATGTAGTGAAGTTAAAAGAGGGTAAGTTTAGATTAGATATTAGGAAGACACTAGAACAAGTTGCCCAGAGAAGCTGTGGATGACCCCTCCCTGGAAGTGTTCAAGGCCTGGCTGGATTGAATCCTAAACATCCTGGTCTAGAGGAAGGTGTTACTGCCCACAGCAGAGCGGTTGGAATTAGATGATCTCTGAGGTCCCTTCCAAACTAAACTGTTCTGTGGTTCTATTTTACTATGGTCATATAGACACAGCTTTCTGCTTGGAACAGCTATTAGGTTGCTTCCTATTCACCCTTTGAAAGTCTAACTTTAGTCACAGGGTTGTCAGATTTCTCATTAAAAGTCAAGTTGCTGAAATTCAAGCTGAAAAAACCCATTGGGCTATCTTCTCCATTCTTCCATTCGAAGTGGAATTATCCCAGGACAGAAAGTACTTTTGTTCTAATATATAAATATGTTCAAGGTACTACAGCTCCTTTTAAAAAAACACAAGCCCATAAACATGTATTTCTTTCCCACACCCTTTCCAGTCATTAAGTAGTGACCTTTCTGTCAAGGGCATCTGTTTTGTTTTAATAAAATGTTTTGATGAGAGGGCTGGGTCAAGACTCATTGTTTCACTGGAGTATCTTTCACAGCACTCCAAACTCCATCGGGCAAAATTCAGGACTTTGTTCCTCCTTTCCAGAGCTTTAACAATGAATTCACTGAAAGTTTGTGTCACTTCATCTAACCACAGTCTCCCCTGAGCTGCTCAGTCACTGAGGACTGCAGGACTTTCAAGCTGGAGACTGTATCACAGACAAATTTCTCAGAAACTGCTCTGTGCTTGGTCACAGAAATGACCAAGGTGACCACGGAGCTTCTGAACAAGATGTGACACCCACTTTCTTGGCAGCCAGTTCCTGTAACAGCCCTTCTGCTAAAGAAGTGGTTAATAAAGTGAGGATGAGTGTAGCTGGAAAGGTCATCGCTGCTTATGCTCATTGAAGTGACATCTGAAGTGATTACAGGCACATACCTTAATGAGTCTGGCAAACACTTCATTTTCTATTTTGATGTTAGGATTAGATTGCTGTTTTGATAGAACTAAAATTATTCTAGAAAATTCTATCAATGCTAATAATTATTCTTATCTTAATTTATGCCTCTTCTTCACAATTCAGAAATAAAACTTATTTGCTGTACTCTTTGCATGGCTGAAAAATGGAGCAAATCAACCCTGTCAAAGGACTTTTTAGGAATAAACAAAATTATTTAAATATACAAAGTCAGTTGAAAAAAAAGTTTAAAATAACAAAAGGAAAGTCAGGAATGAGAAAACCAGATCTTCATCTGAAGGTGGGGTGTAGTATGTAAGTTAAAAGTATTCCAGAATTTCTTTTTTCTCAGACCTTCACTGTAAATGTAGGCATTGTTTTTACACTGGTAGGGAGGTGGACTGCACTGGAAGAGAGAGCATTTTTTTAACAGTATAAAAGTTGCTTTTCAGCTTTTTCAGCTTTCACAATCCAGATGTAGTGGGTAAAGAGGAAAAATGTTTCTCATCATTTTAAGAAGAACTTAAAGCATAAGCATTGATGACTTATGAGCAATTCCATAACTTGAATCAAGTAAGGAAAAGGCAAGAAAAGGAGATCCACCTCTTGACAAAACTCAAGACTGTATTACATAAATTATGTAAATGCCACTGTTTTCTCTGTCTGGTTCAGGAAGTTAATGCATTGTTCCTCCTCACAGTCAGGATTTGACAAATCAGACAAGCCTAGTCTACTAGTCTACAGCAATTCAGAATCTGAAAGATGCCATGGTATTTTGAATAGGCTTGAACTCATGCTTGAATTCATATCCCTGTTATTCAGCCTTGAACCCCCTGATGGTACTGAGGTGTGAAACTGTTTATCTTGGATTTCACTGGGCATTTTGGAAACAGTGCTCTCTGGCTGACATCCACCAGGAGTACTCATACCCTCTGACCAGAATCTGGTAATCATTAATGTGCTTCTGCACTAAGGCCCAGGCTCTGCTGAGTCTGTGGTGGGGTACACTCAGAGAGAGGATAAAATGACAATAAGGAAGGCAAAGGGGAATGGGATGTGGGGCAGCTTTGTCACAGCTTTGTCAGACAGACACTGGAGCTGGGGGCTCTCAGCTAGGGGAAATCAATGCAGCTGAACCTGATCTGCTGGAATTAACAGAGATTTTGGTCATTTGCATTGAAAGCTAAAGGCAGATAAATGCAACAACCTTTCTGCCAGTGCAGCTGGTGTAAGTTACTGGGATAATTTTGCACTCAGAACTCTCTCTGGTCCTTAGATTGATCCAAATAAGTGTAAATTGATCCAAGTAAGTGCAAATGTCCTGCCAGGGCTTCATTTTTATTTATATAATGCTTCTGCTTCGCTAATCAAGAGGTTCAGCTTTGCCATGATTGTTCATAAAAATGGTGTTTTCTCCAGTCATAGATGAAGAATGGCAAAAGACTCAGTGTGTGCCAAGGGAAACCTGTGTGGAAGTTGCCAAAGAGCTAGGTACAACAACCAATAAATTTTTCAAGCCTCCCTGTGTGAATGTGTTCAGATGTGGAGGCTGCTGCAACGAGGAGAGTCTCAGCTGCATGAATACAAGTACAACTTACGTGTCAAAAACGGTAAATGAGGCTATTCATCTGTTTTCTTTTTACTGTGGCTCACCAAAAAGGGAGGGGAAGGAGGATGTTTGGTTTCTGAGATCCTGTTATGGAAGATCTGTCTGTACTATCACAACAAACAGAAGAATTAATTTTTTATCCATGTGGAGTGAATGCAGGAGGGTGCCATAGCATTTTACATTCATGTTGCATTATTAAAAGTTATTTATATGTGTGTAGAGATGGAAAATCAGGCCCTGATATAGTGGCTCATGATGACCAGAAGTTTCATCCTTCTTTAATACATTGTTACTTGGACTGGGGACCCCTTGAGAGTGTTGCCTTCTAGGAATCCTCTGTATCCAAGGTTTAATCCCAGGAAATTTTGGTGTGTTGGGCCACTTCATTTCAACATTATCATCAGTGCAAGAAGTCTGGCTAATAACTGTGGATGTGCAATTTTGCAACCCAAAAAAGGAGACATTCATCAGGAGAGACCAGATGCTCTTAATAAGCATGCCTCAGGATCTGAATGTCCCGAATCACAAACCTCTTAGGGAAAGGAAGGCATAAACCAGTAGTCAATTACTAAATAGGCACAACAGATGATACCCAAGTTTTAGTGACCAGTCCCAAAAACGGACCATAGAGTAGCCAGACAGCTTCTTTCCCACTAGAGGCTATGTACAGAGATATCTTGCTTAAGTGGGTGACTGAGCAGAGGTCCAAGTTTAGTACTTTGAATCCATTTTGTGGATGAAACCAACCATTGTTCAACAGCAATCTGGTCTAGTGGGTGGCATCACTGCCCATGGGAGGGGGTAAGGGGTTGGAACTGATCTTTAAGGTCCCTTCCAAACAAGCCTTTCTATGATTCTATGAGTCATACACACAGAAGAAGCACAGGAGACTGGTCCTCTTTGAGGAACCTTCATCTTGTGCATTCCTGTTTCACTTGGCGTAACAAATGAAATTCTACTTATGAGAAAGGCTTTTCTTTAAATCGTAATAAAGATCAAGTGCAGTTGTTTCAAAAAGAAAATTGAAGCCCTTGTGGGAAACAGGTCAATTTACTTCTGTATTTATTTTATGTTTGCTGGAATGTAATTCCACTGTGTCTGGTTGTACTGGAATATAGCTGGAGTAAAATAAATCAGGGCCTGTCCTTCTTGCGTCAATGCTCATTAATTGCTTTCATTCCATACCAGAAGAAGAAAGCTGTTATGAGCTGTTGGCCACACACAAAAGACATCTGATCAGCTCAGGGAGCTAGGTCAGGCTAAGAAGTATTTATTTATTTATGTGTTTTTTTGAGCAGCAGTTCATAAGTTTGTTGAAAACCTGAAGTCTTGCAGAGTGTAACATTCCTTTAGCATCCCTCAAAATAAGCATTCCCTCAAAAGTCTCCAGCTAAGCTCCATTTCTGGAGACACCACCATCAGTCCAGATTTATTCATCTAATGGAATTATTCCCATATTCCCATACTAGTGAGAGGATTTTTTTCCCTTGATATAAAATATTGGCTGGAGGATATTGATGCCACCTACAGTTGGACACTGCAACACATATGTTTTAATGCCTAAGCAGTCTGTTTAGAAATACTCAGTCCCTGCAGGTGGATGCAGCTTTAAGCCAAGACATGCTGGCACACCAAGATGTGCCCAGTGCTTTTGTTTCCATGGGAAGGAAGCTCCTGCACACAACTGCCCAAGGAACCAGAGCCCCCACAGGCCTACTCAAAGATCACTCTTAACAATTTGGATGCACTGAAAGTGGCTGCTTTGTTCCTTAAGCTCCTCCTATAGTCAACAGAGAGACATTTCCAGGATGATTGATTCCCTGCAGAAACCCAGCTGAAGCAGAATGAACCTTTCTCTATTTACTCCTGTTTTTTTCCCTTTCTGAGGAGGCTGTGGGGCTTAAGCTAGGTCCCTAAAGATGCATACTGTGATTATACCCCAGGACAGTTAAGTAGCTGTCTCTGTAAGTGGTAGAGACTCAACTGAAGGCACCACCAAGAAAAAAGTTCTCAACATCTACCTCTGCCACCATTTGGCCCTACCATCCAAAAGAGGGTTTTGTATTTGCTTGCAAATAATTTTGAGTAGTCTTGGCTGTTTAATAGCTGTAATACAGCACTTGAATACCCATTTTGGCAAGTTCCTACCTTGGTGGGCCTTGCTTATTCTTCAAAATCCTCAGTGCACTTCTGCTCATTTATATTTATGGTAACTATCTCTAGATAAGAGAAAGGGTGGGAAAAATGGTGGAAAAGAATGTGATATTTTTATTTTAAATTGTAATTATTAATTACTATTCAATTAATAACTATTAATAATTAATTATTAACTGTAGAAGGGAAACTGAAAAATAAATGTTATTTGTCCTACCTAGCTCTTTGAGATCTCGGTTCCCTTGACAAGTGTTCCCGAGCCTGTGCCCATCAAAATTGCCAATCACACAGCCTGTAAGTGTACGTCAAATACCCAGCGCCACCAGTACACCATCATACGAAGATCTGTCCAGTACCCAGAAGAAGATGGGTAAGTTCTCTCCTTTGCAAACTTCTACACATGTTGAAATTGTTTTGTCCTGATTTGCATGTTATAATGGTCCATTCTCTTTCTGTTAACCCACCACTTTTTCTGAATAACTTGGTTAGAATCAGGGTTAGAAAGTTCACCCAAACCATGTGAATTTTAAGGGAATGGTCATCAGAGTCCAACAAACTATAGGCCAGTTCTGCAGCATCTGAAGTCACTAAGATATTTAGGCTCTTGAGCAGGGACTCAAGGTGCTCATATTGGCACTATGCTCCCCTGGAGCTATTTGGGAATGTGTGCACAGACGTTGCCAGCCTGACACAGCACTCTGTGCATTATTTAGCCACGCCAAGCACACCAAGTTTATTATTATTATTGAGCACACCTAGTTCTGTGCTCAAGCTAAAGCCCTCTGCCATACTTTATGGCACATTGGGTCAGAATTGATGTGAATCTTGGCTTTACAGTTTTTTGATCCAGTCTTGGTTTGCTCAGACTCATGGACAGGAGAAAAGTGACCTCACATCTCACTCAAAAAATTTGGCACAAAATACTAGTACTCCTGGTGATAAATTAAAAGAAAAGACTCTAGAAACTCAAATAGCTTGAGTAACTCACTGGAAGTCAGCTCCAAAGTCTCTGTCAAGCCCTGCATTCAGCTTGTCCCCACCACTGCCCCTCAGGTATGCATTGGGGTGGGGAGAGGTGTCATTTCAGCAAAGCCACTCCAGCCCTCCCTCAGCCTGCTGGCTACTCCAAATCCTTGTTCTTGACAAATACAGAAGAACCTCAGTCTCTTTTCAGTTTGTGAGTTTCCCTCCTGGAGCAAAGGGCCTGAAAGTCAATCTGTCCCTCTGACACTGAAATAGTCCCCCATGCATCCGTGAGCATGGGCAAATTAAAGTGGAACTGAATCTTCTGGCAGCAAAACAAAATTGAGTAAAGTTACACAGCATGAATACTGCAGGACAAAGACAGCCCCACCCGGGTTAAAGCTGTTTTATGGAAAAGTAGAGGTGCAAAACTGTAGTTTTTTCCTAAGGCTGTAATCTGAAATAGGTGCTGAACTTGCTTCCTGTGTCACTGGGAGCCAGAGAGCTCTTCCCTATCAGCAGAGCCACCCAGACCCTATTCTTTCTGTCTGCAGCTTTAGTACCAGGTACACGTAGCAGACCCAGCACAGCAGCAGCTCATTTTGCCATATGGCTACCCTGATGGGCCTAATTATTTTTTTTAATTCCTATCACAATTTCTTTTTCATCTAGATGCCCCTTTACCAACAAATTTTGCCACAATGGATGGATCTGGGATAGTGACAAATGTGAATGTGTTATAGACACACAGCACTCCAACAGACGAGAAGGTAAGGACAGAATGACAAAGGGACACTTTTTGTAAGGATGGAATGACAAAGAGACACTTTTGTGTACCATCTCCAAGCTCTTTGTCTCTCATTCTGGTCCTCTTCTTTACTTTTTTCATTGATAGAGTTAAAGCTTTTATTCCACATCCCTAGATAGACTTGGATTATGGTGTGGAAACTCACCTGAAAATAAACACACATGTGCTTCCTCTCATCTCATGATTTTTTGCCTGAATGTTTTACTGTCTCTGTATTAGCAACCTGACTAGGACATAGGAAAGTACTTATAAGATTTTGTGAAGTAGGCACCCTGTACAAATTTTCACTTCACATGTGCCTTAAATTGTATGATGGGCATTAGGGAAACTTCTTAACTCTAGAAAAAAAAAATCCCTAGAATACATTACATGGGTACTAATTTTTAATTTTTTTATTTATTTTTAGTTCTTAAGAAAAGACTTAATAATGAATAAGACAGACAAAACTAGTCCTGTACATTAACTGTAATGAGTGCAAAAAATTATATAACCTTTCAAAATATTTGAGTATTTTAATGATAATCTTAAATTACTTAGAAATATTTTAAACTGATACACCTTACATACTCAGGAGTATGTATGGATATTTGTTCAGGTCTGTGGAAGGAGATGGAAAAGGATAAAATTTGTAGAAGGAGAGTAACAGCCTTTCTTCCTCTGCTTCTCCTGTAAAATTTTTATTTGTCAAAGAAAAGTGCAGGAAATATTTTGGGTGGTAACTGTGTAAGTCTGAACATACTTAGTAGCAATAAATATTAAGAGAAATTATATTTTCTCCAAGTCCTGTGTAAGATTTTTTTAATTTTTTTTTTCTCAGGAAATTGCATTGGTCAAAATAACATGGTCATAGCACTAGAGGAAACAGAGAGAATGAAATCTTGCCTTTTTGCTTTAAGCTACATTCAGCAAGAGAAAGAATAAACCATTCAAGGCAAAAATAAATCAATCTGGCAAGCAATTCCTAGAGTAGCAAATTAAAATAAAGCTAAATAACCTCATAAACTGATCTACTGATTACAATCTCCTAATGCTAATAAGCAAGAAATAATTTGCATAGTGGCTTCTGTTGGATTGTTTCTCACTCTGGATAAGATCCTCTGACCATCAGGTTAGGGAGTCAAACACAAGTTAGACTTTTCAGTCCAGAAGGAATTAGTACTCTGTATTTCAGACTGAGTCCAAATGCAATTCCAATACTGAGAATAGCCAGAGCCCTCTTAACTCAGAGTCTTAAGTAAAGACAGCTTGGAGCATTAAGATCTGTGGCTTGTTGAATTATGGCCTTTGTTGACATAGACTCAATACTTCCTCAGAAAAAATATCATTCTCTGATGTGCATTGTGTTTGGCAAGTGGCTGGGACAAAATAACTTAAAAATCTGTCTTTGAGGTTGAAGCAAAGTGAGATAGAAACACTCTACACCACTTCATGCATGCCAAGCTTTATCACCTCAAGGAAAGGGTTTGTCTTCCAAGAATTTTGGGCAGACTCCCTCCTCTCTTTCAATAGGCTTTAGATTTCATTCTGTTGAGATACCGGTTTTTCAGCATTGAGCAAATAATAATGAAAATTTCTTTCAAGTAATGTGCGAGCCTTTTCTGACCCCTGAGATCAGGGATCAGATGGCAGAGGTGCAGGTTACATTTCACATTCCATAGGTTATATCCAAGAGCTAATTGTAAAGCTACAGGAAATTACCTTCCCAATGACACCTTATATGCCATGACCTTTAACCAGGGATGTGCTGCTTGCATTTTAATAAAGCTTTCACAAAATGTGTTCCCTTTTTGCTAGGATTAGCTGCATATTGTGCTCCAGATGTGCATTTTCAGGGAAGATATTAGACAGTGAGTTCCCTTGGCTGTTTTGGCTTTTTTTTCTGAAACAAAGTATTTTCTTTCATCTTTGACAAATATGAATGTGCTCCTTGTTGAAGTGCTAGGCCAGCTTGCCCCCTAGTAGACACAGCATTAGTCCTTAAAAATTCCTGCAGTGCCTGTGTAGTGAAGCACACATGGTGGGTGTGGTAGCTTGCATGGATGTGCCTTTTTGTCATGGGTATAGACTAAATCCCTTTTGAGATTATCTTTTTAAAACTTGCTGTCCAGTAAATATTTATGCATTCCAAAACATAACATGAGACTCTAGCAGTATACATCCCCCAATTTTTTTTTTCTGTGCTAAGTTCAACCCATAAGAAATAGCAGTATTAGAATAAAGTGAAATAATCAGCTCAATCCTCTTGAGTCTGTTGCTGCACAGAAAGTTGTGACAGAAATTGTGAAATCTGGAATCTATCAGAAAGTACATGTGTGAGTCCTAATGAATAGAGAGCATAGTCTCTTCAAAAGCAGGATTTAGTTATGTAAAGCTTAGTGCTAAAAGATGTATGTGCTGTTGCAGGACTCCCTCCTCTTGCTGAGCTGGCTATGTGTGGACAACATATGGAATTTGATGAAGAAAATTGTGAATGCATCTGTAGACATAAGTGTCCCACAGATTTCTTTCAAAGTAAAGAGAACTGCAGCTGCTATTTGTGTAGGGAGAGCCAGGAGAGCTGTGCTCTAAAACACAAGATATTTCATGCTGAAACCTGCAGGTAAGTGATCCTTGCCATTCAGTGTCTACACTGCAAGAGATGAATTAGAGTTGCAAGTGCTTAATTGGCTGGGATAAAATACCTTGCTAAAGTTAGGAAGATGATGATGATGATGATGGAGATTATATTTACAATACTTACCGAATAAAAGGAATTTAAGCTTTATTTGTATTTTTAAGAAGTCTGGGCAAGGCTGCTATTCAACTGTCAATACTTACCACTTGTTTTTTCTTGCTAATCTTTAGGGAATGATGACTAAAACTGTACTACAACTGATATTAGTTTTTGCAATGAGATACCAAGTCTTGTAGGTAGGCAGAACCCATCCTGTGACAGCTGTTCTCTGCGCCAGCTGAAGGCAATCTCACGGATGGTTAGGGACAAAGGCTCCCTAAATTTGCACACAGAACACACAGCACATTCCATATCCAGTTTGTCCTCAGAGCAAGTAATTTTCTAAACCTAATGCAATTCTTCACACATATAAATCTACTCAACCAGCTCTGACTCCACTGAGAAGCAGGAAAATTGTTCTGGGGCTATTACACTCCATGAATTTCCCTAATCTGTATTATTAGTTTTGAGGTTTCTGTGTCAAATCACAGGTATAAAATGCTGTCTTAAAACACCTGTTTTAATGGATTAGTTATTTCTTTAAATTTTTCAGAAAGCTCTGGTTCCATGTAGAGACCTAGGAGCATGCAGTAGGTTAGTTTCAAAGTTTATATAAGGGTAGTCAGCATCCAGTTTCCCTGGGTGCCTTGGCAGAGCTGTAGCTCACTGAGTGGTCACCCACAGGGTCCACTCTCAGTGGCTTCACAGCTTCATTGACAGGGAAGATGCTGTGGGAGAATTACCCTTTGCATCTTCAGGTTCAGCTTTGGAAACAAGGACAAACACAAAATAGTTGTCAAGTATAAAAATAGCTAAAACAATCAGCAGAGCTAAAAATGAGAAGGAAAAAATTGGTTATTTATGTTTCAGAGAGGTGGGAGGGGAGCAATTTAACAATTTGTTTATATGAATTTGGCTTCTAGAAATTCCTGTAATCTGGACACAGGACCTTAATGCCAGACTTCTATGTGCAGTATTTCTGGAGAAGCAAAGCTGAATCATGAAGTGAGATAAGCTACTTTGCAGAGTCCCAGGGCAGCACTATCCAGTGCTGACCTTCAGGACTTTACTGGTCTCAAGAAAGGAAAGCACCACTTAAGTTGTGAATCAGAACAAATGGACCACTGCAAGACATGTTGCTGTAGACAAAAATTGTGAGGCAGAAAATTCCTGTCTCTCTGTGTTGTAAGACATCAACACTTTCCCAAATGATGTGTAGGGAGCATTGCAGTGTTCAATGATGAAAAAGTTGAGGAATATGACAGTGAAGAATTTTCATATTAAAATGCTTTTCTCTTTTGCATTCTTTCTTTATCAAACAGTTGTGAAGACAGATGTCCATCCCAACCCAGAACATGCCCAACTGCCAAACCAGTGTGTTCCAGGCATTGTCGTTGTCCAAAGGAGAAGAAAGGTACTCATGGCTCCCAAAGCAGAGAAACTCCTTGACTGAGCTTCCCCTACTCTTCGAAAATCCACTGCTTTGCAAAGTAGCTGTCACTGACTTTCAAACAATAGTAAACATGAACATCTTCCACATTAATAGCAGAAGAATTAATCCAGTCTGCATTTATTTATTAGAGTAATCACTAACTGCAAGTGAATCCTCTGGGACACTGGTAAATGTTCTCCAAGAGGTAACAACAGCTGATGAATTTCTGGCTGCATGGAAGAAAGATTGGCAAGTACCAGTTCAAGGTTACGTTATGGAAGATAAAACTCTGTATTGGAAATAGAGTCACAGTGTCCAGCCAGTCATTCAGAAATTGAGACTTGATAATCTTAGCCTCTGAATCCTTAGCTAATGCAGCTCCTGGGTAAAACTTTCTTCAGAAATTCAGTGTACAGGATTTGGCTTCTAATAGGTTCAGCACTGAGTTATTTGATCTACTGTCCAGCTTTGATTATAATTTTGTGTTTATTGTACAACTACTGTCAGATGTGCCATATTTAAGTGTATATAAGAAAATAAATACATCAGTTATTCGAGTGGATTTGATTTTTCTCTGTTATTTTAAAACTCTGCCCAACAAAAAGAAAATAAGGAAAACCCCAAAGCCATTTCAAGTACAGTTTTCTTACGTTTGTTCCACAGGGACTGGCTTCTGCTCAAACCCAGGTCGAAACAAGGTCACTTGACCCAATAGTTTCAGTAAAAATGAAGCATTTTTTCCCATGTCTGCCTTATTTATTTGTTCCTGGTGTAGTGTGCTAATCTTCTAAAGGGAATAACACCACACTAGTACTAACTCTTCAGTGATTTTTTGGAAAAGCACTGTTCACTAGAAGATAGTTTTCATTTCAGCCTACCATGCAATGAAAATATCTCCTTTGCACTGAAATTCCTCTCCCCAGTGTGAGGCCTGAGTAAGAGTGCTTTAACCAGATCAGGTAAAAGGGCAGTATTATTTTCTGAGCCACTGAAGTCTGGTGTGAGCTAATCCAGACAAAATATTATGAGCAATAATCCTGAACTGGAAGTGATATTCTTGACATCTGTATAATTTTTTCCGAGTTGCTGAATTCTCCAATTCTACACTGCACTGTGAACAAAGGGAACAGAGTATATGAAACAAATGCTACAGAGATGGAATATTTGACACAACACAGGGAACAGAAAATGGATTTCTGATGTGCAACTAAGTCTGGGGTTTTTTTATTCATATAGGAAAAATAGATTGTTTTATAATAAAATTAGAGCCAAATCCCATAAGATTGATTGAATAGCTGGACAAAGCACCAAACAATTTAACATGCCTAGAGTCTCAGTAAGGCATTTAGGATTTGATCCTGAGTGCTGTGTTTCCTAAGCCAGCTGGGACCTTAGTCTGTGCAAACATACCTGCAGGCTGTTAGTGGTACCTGTTCTGTGAGCTGGCCTGGGATCCTCTGCTGGAGCAGCAGAGTCTGGGCTGTGAGCAGCCTGCCTGGAGCCCCTGCAGCAGGGTTATCTCCTGCTCTGATATCCCTGGGCTCCTGCCTGTGGCTGCTCCTCCAGCCCACAGGACACGTGCCACAGCCTGGACTCTGCATGGACAACAAGGGGAAGGTGATCCCTGTGCAACACCAGGTGAAGCAGCCTGGCAGCACAAGCACACACATCTCCCCCGATCCTCGAAGAGGCTCTAAATTCAAACACCTGTGTGGTGGTGAGGTCCTCGAGCTGCACAGGGGTCCTTAAAGGGAGTGAACTTCCCCATCACTTCTCCTCTATCTCATCTGGGGGCACTCTGCCCAAATGGCTGTGTTGCCAATAAGCTACACCTGTAGCATGCTCCTCAGAAAGCCAGGGAGCTGTAGAGGCAAACCTGACACTTAACAGAGGTATATAGAGTGAAAATACACCTCTATGCAAAGCCACACAAAAGTATTTGTAAAGCTAAATTCTGTGGGAAGAAATCAAGCTTTTACATCACCTAGTTTATCCTGGAGTTCAGCAACTGGAGTGCTGTATTAATTACATCTGTGTCAGTGTTGATCTGTAGAGGCTTCCTTGGTTTTCTATCCTGACCAGTGAATATATCAATTTCATTTCTCAAAACTGAGTGCTTTTGCCAGAGAGACAAGTAAGTCTGCTTCAACCCCAGGAGGCTCTTAGATAAAGCAGTTACTAAGGGGCTGAAAACCATGTTCCAAAGCTTTTCTCACAGAGATGGAGAGGGATTTGAACATGAACCACCTAACCTCCAGGAGATTACAATCTTGCTATATCTATAGGCTTCTTTCAGTTTAAGCCTCTGGGTGAATTTAACCTTTAACCTCAGAATTTTGCTCTGAAATGTTGTGGCTCACTTTGTTAAACACTTAGGCAAATATTTTTGATAGTGTTGTGGTTTAACCCCAGCTGTTAACTAAGCACTCCACAACTCACTTGCTCTACCACCACCCTGGTGGGGAGATTTGGAAAGGAAAAGTAAACCTCATGGGTTGAGGTAAGAACAATTTCTGATAATTGAAACAAAATTAAATATAACAGCTACAACAAGAATAAGAAAAGTAATGCTACTAGTAGTAGTAATTGTCATGGAAAAGGGAGAGAGAGGAATAAAACCCAAGAAACACAAATGATTTACAACATAATTGCTCACCACCCACTGACCAATGGCCAGTCCACCCCAGTGGTGATGGGACTCCCCTAACTCCCCCAGTTTATATTCTGGCATGACATACTATGGAATGGGATATCACTTTGGCCCATAGAGGTCAGCCCTCCTGGCTATGCTTTCTCACAGCTTCTTGTGCTGCTGCTCTCTGTCAGAGCATAGGAAATTGAAAAGCCCTTGATTTAGAGTAAGCACTAGTTAGCAATAGCCAAAACATCAGTGTGTTATCAATATTATTCTCATACTAAAAACAAGACACAGCACTGTACTATCTACTCAGAAGAAAGTTAACTCTATCCCAGCCCAAATCAGGACAGATACAAGCGTGTTTAAGCAACAGAGAATGTGTGATCATCAAAAACACACTGGGAGGGCAATGCAAAATTCAGTGGTTTTTTCACCAAATTTACCCCCCTGACAGATTCTTCTGTGAGGGATTCCTGCTTTGCAGGAGCAATGTCCCTGAAAACTTGTGGATTAAGAATGGTTCTCAGACTCACTGTGAAGATGGAAAAGGGAACTGCTTGTGGTGGCATTCATGAGCAAGCATGACATAAGCAGCCAACACACAGGTTTTTATCTAGTTTATAACTTAAATTCTCCTTAGAGGTTCTCAGCCCTAGTTTCCAGAAGCCTTAAGAATGCACTTTGCATGCTTCAAGCAGGATTACCAGCTCTGGTGCAACCTACAGGCATCTTACAGCCTATTTCTTTTACAATAAATCCCTACCTCAGCAGATGATCTGCTCCTAAGGCCCTGTGCCAGTCTCTATTGTAGGGTGCTGCCCTTTGCTAACCTGCTTTCCCAATCATTAGAAAATTACCAAAGCTAGAGTGTGTAGTGCATATCTGTAGCATTCACTGAAACACCATGTGGAAAAGCTCAATAATTTTAGCACAGTGCTGTGAATGACAGTGGTGTGTCTTCACTGCCACAGCCCCCAGAATACCTGGATGTCACTAAGTCTGTGTCATAGCCATAAATCCTCTGTGTGGAAGACTAGGACTAAAAGGAGGGTCTGAGTGAAGATGCAAATACATGCAGAAAATTAGATTTTGGTGATAATCTACAAAAGTTCAATGTATTTCGTTGGTGGAATTCTGGATTTTTCATTTAAAAAATATTCAACAAACTTTAAAGTAGAAATGGTTGATGTTATCTTTCACATTGATACATCAGACTGACTTTTAATTATGATATTAAATATAACAATTCAGAAGAATTTAATGAGGTATGTAAAATTCATAGCAGATCTGTTTTTTGACTGATATCATTAACTCTTAACCTATGACTAAATGACCCTCAGAGAGAGAAGGTTATTGTGCAGTGGAATGTTCTCTTTGAAGTTTGAAAGGCCTTTTATTACTGTGTTCAGCATGACTTGCTTTTTAGGCATATGGACATGATTTACAGATTTCATAGGCAGAATAATGGTGCTAAAAATTCCTTCCTGTGTCTTAATTTTTATATAGTGAGGGATGTCTTTAATGTGATATTTGTGTTATGTATGTAATAGGAATGGCAATACTTAAACAATAATTGTTAATTCTAAATAAACACACACGATGTTTCTCAAACCATCAGATTTTATGAGTAGCTAGCTTCTACTTACATGTGCTTTCTTGCAAGAAGGGGACAAGGAAGAATATGAATCAGAATAATAGCTAAATATGCACACTGCATTGAAAGAGTCAGGAAATATTTATCTACTTGCAAAAACCATACTTGACTTCCAGAAGGACAGAGGTACATGTGATATTACCAAATACTGGTGAAAGATGGAAGAAGTTCAAGCACATCTTGAAAGTACTGCTCTCATTTACTTCAAAAGCTATCACAGGTCATATGCTGTGACATTGCTTATAGCAAGAATTATTCATGGGAGGGTTGACAGAGCACTCATAAATCCAGTCATACTCATACACACTGCAAACATATAAATCTGTATGTATCCTTTGGGCATCAAATCCTGCTCACTCGTAATGTCCCTTCCTGTATTCCAGAGAAAACAAGTGTGAATCTGCTTAGGTTTATTTTCTGTTTTCTTGTACCACTGCAAGTCGGGATTTATGCGATTAAAGTTATTTTGCTTTACAGTAGCGTAAAAAAAAAAGCAAGGAAAATCTTGAGAACCCAAAACTTAATCTAAGGAAGCTTCTTCAGCTGCCTGTCTCCTTTGTATTTTCTAAATAACTGGTATATTCATTTCAATTTTAAAATTCAATATTTTAAAATATCAAAGGGGTTGTCATCTTCTAATTCTGGACTTGTGGAGTGAATTGTTCTTTCTGGAACTACAAGGTGGATAGCAGGCCAAGTAAATCTTTTTTCTCATTTATTGAAGTCTACATTAAAAAAAACCAAACAAAACAAGTAGGGGGTTACAAGTGATGTACTGCCATTCACTTTGTTTTTCAAACCCCTACATCAGCAGTTACTTAAAAACTCCACTAAAAACTTTTAACTCAGGGGTAAAAAATCTGTTCTAAATGAAAATAAAAGGCAAGTGCTCCTTTGGCCAATAAAACAAAAAGAGTACACAAAATGATGTGTCAGGGCTTGGTCTGCACTTTGACTTCAATGCCATTAACACTCTTCTTTGTTTCCACTTTTATCATACTTTACAATACTACTCAATATGAAAGGTCATACCAGGCTGAGAACAGTGGGGGATCCATAATTTAGCATGAACTGTTTCCTTTCTTAAACATCAAAATGTACCTTTAAAATGTTTATGGCTGAGTAATCAATGATTTAATTCTAGTGTGCATTGGTATATGCTATATATTTGAAAATACAACAGCAGTTATACAAAAAACACCTAGTTACGGAGTGTGATTACAACTTAAGTGGCAAAAAAAAATAAGGTAACAAGGTAGG